CTGTTATTGAAAATCTTCAATAAAAACATTTTGAAATAAAATAATGGGACATATACACAAGTCCTGTAGAGTTGTCCCAAGAAAATGAGTCTAAGAAAACAAGATATGCTGGCCTATATAGCACAAAGGAATAAACGACTTCTGGACCATGGAGTTCACTTTAATTCTTATTAGGACTTATTGGGGGAGGCCTTGGTTTCTTACTTTCCATAAAATTATCTGGGGTTTGTGCAAATGAAAAATATGTACTTATGATCTCAGCTTCTGATTTGTTCTTTATAATTCCTAAATTAGCTATGAGATAAACTATATCATCAAGACTACCTTTTTGGAATTTAAAAATTGTAACATTTAGGGTTGTTTATAATATTATCAATAGTAATCTGTTTTATATTTTCAGTATTTGCTATTTTTTTTCTTTTGGGTTTTAAATGATTTCCTTTCATGTCTTAATGTATCTAAACTTTCCTGTTCGAATATACTATTTTCATTTTATTCCTAGAAATTTTAATCCCATATGGAATGCCCTTGCTACAGTGTTTATGTTTAGTATATTAAAACCATTTTCTTTCATTTTGATATCTTTGTATATTTCTTAATCTACAAAAGAAGAGTTTTATGTAGCAATGAAGAAGACATTCACTATATACAGCATTAACTACTAAGTGAATGCCTGCTTACCCCCACCTCCCCTTCCCTGTGATAGCGGGCATGGGTTCCTCTCCCCAGCAGCTGCTGTCACATTTTAAAATCAGGGAGCTGCCCGCCCGCACAACTGCGTCATTAATTCAGAGGGATCTGTGAATTAATAATCTACAAATCCTGCCTGCCAACATAGCAGACAAACTTGTAGTTTCAACTGACTGCGAGTGTGCTGATCAGCACGCTCTTAGTCAATTTACTCTTCCTCCAGCTTTTAAAATGAAAGTCCATATGGGCAGAAAGCTGGAGGGAGACTGTGTAGGAGCCTGACATTGCATCCCCGATCTACTGATCATGGATGCAATACTCTGCAGGCTCCTGTAGAAAAAAACAATAACTGCACATTGTTTTACCTGAAAACAGCAATCGTGTCTGTTGCAATTTTTAAGTGGCTCGATATCTGCACAGATGTTTATCAAACGCAATATTTTTAGGAAAAAATAAATTTTACATTTTAATGTACACAAAAACAAAGTTATATTGGAGGGAAAGGCTCCACATCACTGTAAAAGTAATCGGGTGGCCAAGGGCGGACTGACAACTCATGGGGGCCCCCGGGCAATAGGGGATCATGGGGCCCCTGTGTCCTTGCCCAAACTCAAAAAAGCCTATGAAAAAATACCAGGGGAATCTCATGGGGCCCCCTACTGACCCCGGGCCCTCGGGCAGTGCCAGAGTTTCCAAATGGTTAGTCCGCCCCTGTGGGTGGCTATACAGCAGCCCGGAGCACCTTTACATAAAAGCTGATAGATGGCTCTAAAATATTTGACCAGGATCATGGCTATAGCTGCAGCTATGATTTTGCTATAACCACATGCTCTCCAGGACATATATATATATATATATATATATATATATATATATATATGCTGGACGGCAAGTGGTTAAAGGTGTAGTTACCCTTTAATAAATATCACCTTATGTTTTTTTTTAAACACCACTGAATCTAAAATCCTTTAGGCTTTTCATATGTAAAAGTCATTGCTGCCCAAATGTTTCAAAATTCAACAAAGATAATTCATTTCCATGTACAATGTAGGTATCAGCATCACTAATTGACCCTTCTCCTGACACTAAATACTTCAAGAAGTAAGTAGTGTGTGTTAAGCAGTCAACTAAATGAGTAGTAATAGAGCAATCACCAGAGAGAACAATTATCACTATGGTGAAATATGTGCATGTTGTGCTCTAGAGCCAATAATTACTGTCATTCTCAAACAGAGGTGGGCTCTGTTCACTTCTTTTATTAGAAAACCAAAACAAGCATCTGATTTATGTTTTTTTTTAAATGACTCTTCACTTTTATCCTAGGCTTTAGAAACTTAGTTACTAATGTCCTTGTAACTGATAGTAGTGAAACCAGTTTGCTATTGGACAGTTCAACATAATTGATGCATGAAGATTATATTATATACTGGTTAATTTCATACAATCTTACCATGCTTCACCTTATATACCTCATGCTTTCAATGTTAGGATAGGGACCTAAAATAGAATGCATGTCCTTGGGGTAAATGACTAGGTATAGTACCTTGCAGGTAATTAAAGTGATATTAAAGGCAATGAAAAAAACAAACAAAAAAACAACAACAAACATGTCATACTTACTTGCTCTGCGCTGTGGTTTTCCATAGAGCAGCCCCGATCCTCCTCTTCTCGGATCCCCTGCCGGCACTCCTTGACCCTCCCTCCTGGCTAGTGCCCCCAAAAAAGCAGTTTGCTATTGGGGCACCCAAGCAGGTTCGCTACCCAGCTGCTGCTCTGCATGGCCATTTACATACAGAGCTGTGGCCCTGCCCCACCCCCTCTCTCTCCTCAAAGATTCACTAGCTCTGATTGACAGCAGTGGGAGCCAATGGCTCCTGCTGCTATCTTAGCTAATGAGGAGAAAGAGTTCCTGGAGAGCCAAGGCTCGCATGCACATCGCTGGTTCACGATGGGACTCAAGTAAGCATTAGGGGGGGGGGGGGGGGGGGCTGCTGCACACAGATTTGAAACCTTGAGCTTTTACAACCACGTCAATTTCAGGTCTTCTTGGTTAGAATGACTAGGCAGTTCTGGTGAATCAGTGCTAAATTATAAAGACAGTACAGGTATAAAGTTAAGATATTTAATAGGTATGAGTTGTTTTTACAAAGACCTGCATACTCAAACCAAGTCTTGTTTTACAATCAATATATTTAAATAACTTTGGCAAACATTTCTTTTTATCAGGTAACTTGTCATTTATTTTGACCCTTCCATTTCAGTATCAGCTCTGCAACTTTGGCTAAAACACAGAGAATAATGAGGCTTTGATGGGAAGGCTTGAACTATATTCAAAAGGATTACTGAGATTTTATTATTCGTTTGATTTATGTTGAGCTTGTAAATGGTTTGTACATTAAAAAAGGAATTAAAACTGATTCTACAGATGATGAGTGGAGACTTATTGTTTCAGCCCTGTCCAGGATCCAGGAGAATCTAGATCAAGGGAAATATTAATGTATTACCAGATTCAATGCAATCAATATACAACGTAGGTTAGGTTTGCGTTGACGAATGTTTCATTACTTTATACTAAATGTTTTCTATTTATGATTATGTTCGTCTGAAGTTATAAAACAGAAACAGAGCCCACTGCAAGCATTCTTCAGTAAAATATGACATTGTGAAATAAGAAAAAAAAACTAAAGGACACCTTGGGACAAAATCAGTATGAAGGATGTATTAGCTCAGCAAGGTGTTTGAGAGGATGATAGCCTAGCACTCAGTATTACAATGATTACACTGAAAGATGTGCTGGCAGTGGACAGCTCCTGTATCAGTATCAAAATGATAGTTCTTACATTCACGTCTGTTTTCCTATTTAACACAAAACATCATTTTTTGAAATACTTTCATTTGACTCAGCAAACATAACTAAGCTTAAAGTGGTTGCAAGGCTCAAGGTTTTGTTACCTTGATGCATTCTATGCCAGAACAAAAACAAATGTCTGTGTGCAGCTCCCCCCCAGCCCCCTAATTATCTGAGCCTCATCACGATCCAGCGATGTGCATGCAAGCCTCGGCTCTCCAGGGACTCTCCCTCCTCAATGGCTGAGACAGCAGCAGGAGCCATTGGCTCCCACTGCTGTCAATCACAACCAGTGAGCCAATAAGGAGAAACAGAGGGAGCGGGACATGCAGAGCAGCGGCTAAGGAGCAAGCCTGCTTGGGTGCCCCATAGCAAGCTGCTTGCTCTGGGGGCACTAGGCAAGAGGGAGGGGCCAGGAGCCCCGTCGGGGGACCCGAGAAGAGGAGGAACAGGGCTGCTCTATGCAAAACCACTGCACAGAGCAGGTAAGTAAAACATGTTTGTTATTTTTTTTAAATTGCCTTTAAATTACCTACTTTAACTTTTGGCTCATTCATTCTATTCTACTGTATATAAAGTTACAGTTACAGATCAATAATATTATAGGAACTGTCATTACCTTTGCGATATAGATGCAGGTTTTGACGTAATTCACGTGGAAAATTTATGTAGCTTTTATGGTTCAAACCCAAACATAATTCACCTCCAATGCTTTCAGCAGAAAGTGAAAACTGCAAAACGTTTACATATTGAGAGTGTATGTTCACTCAGCTTAGTAAATACGGCGAAGTTGTATTCATTCATAGTAAAAACACAGAGTTTTTGTTTGAACATGATTTAAAGTATATGTAAAACCCTCATCTTGTAAACAACCCCTTCTGTTTAACCACTTGCCTCCAGAGGCTTTACCTCCCTTCCTGACCTGGTCATTGTTTAACTGAAAATTGCGTGGTCATGCAACACTGCACCCAAATGAAATTTACGTCCTTTTTTGCCAACAAATATAACTTTCTTTCAGTGGTATTTGATCGCCTCTGTGTTTTTTATTTTTTGAGCTATAAACAAAAAAAGACCAATTTTGAAAAAAAAAAAAACAATATTTTTGACTTTTTGTTATTAAACATGTCCAGTAAAAAAAATAACAAAATCAAATTTCATCATAAATTTAAGCAAAAATGTAATCTGCTACGTCTTTGCTAAAAAAAATCCCAATACGTGTAAATTAATTGGTTTACGTGAAGGTTATATTGTTTACAAATGGCGGTATATATACTGGAATTTTTTCTTTTGTTAGCTAGTAATGGCGGTGATCAGCGACTTATAGCAGGACTGGGGCAGGCATTCTGACACTGGGGGAAACTGGCTTGGTGTCACTGACATCCCCAGTGACACCAATACAGTGATCAGTGCTAATAAAAAGTACTTACACTGCACTAATGGCACTGGGCAGGAAGGGGTTAACATCTGGGGAGATCAAAGAGTTAACTGTGTTCTGTTTTACTGTGTGCATGCTTTACACTGGAAGCACACTGTTTTGTATGGCTCTGCTATGCAGAGCCATAAAAAGCAGTGTGCAGGAGATGGCAGGGGAGAGATCTGTGTTGTTTATATACAGGTCTCTCCCTCGTCGGTGATACTTGTCGATCGCTGGGTGCCAGCGTGGAATCACCAGCTGGGACCCGGTGATTGACAGCCGAGGCTGCGAATGGCAGCATGCGTAGGGACGCATGCATGCACCCCCTACTTGGAACTGCAAAATAGCGTATATATATATACTCGATTTTGCACAGCCGTGCCACCCTGTAGCAGTATTTCTGCTATAGGGTGGCACAGAAGCGGTTAAAATAGAAATGAAAAACAAAACATTGTATAGAAAAAAAAAAATATATAAATACCCCTTTTTCCCTTTTGTATAAAGTGATCACATTCCCTCTGTTCTTAGGGGCATATAGAGCTCAGAAAGCTAGAAGAAGAGAGACAGCAGCACACTGATCTTCCCAGTGAATAGCTGAGCAGAGGGGGGGGGGGTTGCATGTCAGCAGCAGTCCACTGGCGGACTGACAACTCATGGGGCCCCCGGGCAATAGGGGATCATGGGGCCCCTGTGTCCTTGCCCAAACTCAAAAAAGCCTATGAAAAAGGTACTAGGGGCATCTCATGGGGCCCCCTATGACCCCGGGCCCTCGGGCAGTGCCCAAGTTTTCAAATGGTCAGTCCGCCCCTGCAGCAGTCTGATCATTGGTGGAGAGCAGGCTGATTTCCCAACACAGCCAGAGAACTGACTATGCTGTGCTCTCTTTCCCAGTGTAGTCAATTTTTAATAGGAAAGTAGAACAACTGGCAGGAATACCAGCAATATTCATACAAATTCAGGCACATATTGTGAAAATGAAATGTTGGGTTTACATATATTTTAAATAATGATTTTAACACAACTTTCCCTCATTTACTAAGTTAAATAAGTGACATTAAACCAAAAACCAAAAATGTAATACTGTATATTGCAGCTTACCAATTATTAGATGTGGTGGCTGCATTTGTTTTCTTTTTTAGGCTTTTTCCCTTCTGTTTTCACTTGGAGATCTGGCCTGTAACATATCTCTTGTGTTAAAGTGCCTTCACTCTGGAGGGATGAGCACAGGGGACACCTTTGGACAGCAGTATTGTCAGTCTGGGGGGAGGGGAGTATTAGATGTACTAGTAAATTTCGATAAAGTAAACAAATTGAAGCCAAACTCCAGCTCACACTGCAATTACACAAGCTGTTACAACAAACAGTTTTTTCCTTTTTGGATAAAGGTTTTACATGAATAAATTGAGTACTGTCTGTGATACCTTTTTTTTTGGACTAACATCCACATTTTGAATAAATATTTAGATAAATCAATCAATAAATAATATATAAATCAAATAAATAAATCTAACAGGAATAAATAAAAGCTGATAATTGTAAGCACCCCTACCACTGTCTGTTAAATGGTTTGTCTCAGCTTCTCATCATTTTCAGATTTTCTTAACGTGTATGTGAACTCGATAACTTAACAATTAATTTCTCTTGTTTGGTCCATTTTGGTCTGTTACATATACCACTGAAAGTTTGTTATTTTGGCTTGATAAGTTAAAAAAAATACCCATTGATCTTGCCAGAAATCTTGTGAGCTGTTCCTGAACTTCCTGTGTTGTCTGTTTGTGCTGACAGAACCATGACCCTCTATGCTATACAGAATAAGAGAAGGACAGGGTTCCATAGTCCTATCTATACAGAATATGAGCATTTTCATCTTAGGCCTGGAAGTATGGTACTAGTAGAATCACTAAGTGAAAATAAAGGGGGGAAAAAAGCTTGAAAAAATAAACCTAATGAAACCACCACATCTAAGGACTGGTACCCTGCATTATATTACATTTTTGTTTGGGGGTTTAGAATGAACAGATACTAAGTAAATGGCACTGTAAAAGTCTACCTATGGATATTATAGGGTTGATTTTCTAAAGACAGATAGGTTGTTCACCTTGCAAGGGAAGTTGCACTTTGTAAGGGCATTATCCCTGAGCTTAGTGAATGATGTGAAGCTCTGCTGTCTTCCATCATCCAATCATGAGTAAAAATGCTGTTTTTTTTTTCCTTGCACATGATTAGGTATTCTTTGCATAGTAAAATTTCATGACATTCGCTAAGCACTGGGGAATATTCTCTTACAAAGTAAACAGTCTATTAGCCTTTTAGTAAATCGCCTCCTATAATTCTGCTTATCCATGCAGTTATTGCAGGGAACTGCTTTCCTTTTTCCAATGATTAACTCATCCAATTAGGGGCAGAAAACACGTACTTATTCAATTCGACTAGCTCACAAGTATGGTCTCTGTGTGAAGTTGGCTTGTGTCATGTAGGAAGAGGGGAGAATGAAGTTTAGCAGAACATTTAAAGAAATCCACACATCTTAGCTCTCTTTTATGTCATTCAAATCCACAGAAAAATGTTTCTTTGTTTTAGATAAAAATATTGAATTCTATACTGCTGGCTATGAATTACAGGGATAGTAGGCTTCACCAAAGACTATAGATATCAACTAAAGACATGGAGCCCAAAAGGGAACAAAAGTCCAAATAAATACTATTCTCCTTAATAATTGTTTAAAAGAAATGCTTTTTTTTCTACAAAAAAATAGAACATAGACCCAAAGACATTTTTAAAATTAGATCTCACAAGTCTCAAACACTTTCAAAGGCAATTTGATTGAGGCATACATTGGCGTTTATTTACTAAAGTTGGAGAGTGCAAAATCAGGATCACTTCTACACAGAAACCAACCAGCTTCTAACTTCAGCTTCTTCAATTAAGCTTTGGCAATAAAACCTGGTAAGAAGTAAGCCTGATTTTGCACTCTCCAGCATTAGTAAATAAACCCCAGTGTGTATACAAAGATCATTTACAAGCTGCTGAGCAAAAAAGCATGTTGAGAATTGAAGGCAACACAATTGGCACCCAGGGGGAACACATAAAATGCAGCAATTCCCAGTCTGCGGTTGGGAACTAAAATGGCATTTTGAAATTATGGGGTCCACAGCAGATATGGGATGTTGTAGTGGTTGCACCATAGCCTTTATTTCCAAAACCTTGGAAATAAACAGAAGCCCTGTGCAAACAGGCTGGAAAATTGCCAGTATTTACTTTAGGCACTCATTTTTAAAGTAAACCTGTCACAAACTTGGGCAGTTCAAACAAAGTATACAATGAAAAATGAATAAGCAGAGGCTATCTTCCGGGACGAAAAAAAATGTAGGTGGTATTAAACCCAAAAACAAAAACTCAATATGTCGGAGCTTACCAATCCTTAAATGTGTGCATTAGTTTTCTTTTTGAGGTGTTTTTTCCTTGATATTAACTAGGTGATTCAGCCAGTGACACTCTTCCTGTCTTAGGGTGTCTCAAATCTGAATGGGGGAGCAACGGAGAAACGTTTGGATAGCAGCATTGTCACTACCCTGGAGAGAGGGTAGTGTTAGAGGAACTAACAGATTTAGATGGAGTTGACTACCAAATTGAAGCTGATCTCCAGGTTACACTTTTTAAACAGCTACAGCAACATTTTTCCCTTTGGGATAAAGGTTTCACACAAATAAATAAAAGCTGATCACTGTAAGCACTGCTGTCAATGGTAAATGGTTTGACTCAATTAGGGATGAGTTTTTCAAACCTAAAAATGTGACTGCGCACTTGTATCAAATGTGCCCAACGTTATCAATTCATAAACATATTTAAAAATCATCAATCAAAAATACATATACAAAAAATAATTATATATATATATATATATATATATATATATATATATACACACAGTACATATACACACACACACACACACACACACTATATTGCCAAAAGTATTGGGACACCTGCACTTACACGCACATGGGCTTTAATCCACGCACATCCCAGCCTTGGTCCGTAGGGTTCAATATTGAGTTGGTCCACCCTTTGAAGCTATAAAAGCTTCAACTCTCATGGTAAGGCTGTCCACAAGGTCAAGTGCGTCTATGGAAATGTTTGACCATTCTTCCAGAAGCTCATTTGTGAGGTCAGGCACTGATGTTGGACAAAAAGGCCTGGCTCACAGTCTCTACTCTAATTCATCCTAAAGGTTTTCTATCAGCCAAGTTCCTCCACCCCCAAACTCATTCATCCATGTCTTTAAGGACCTTGCTTTGTGCACTATTGTGCAGTCATTTTGGACTATGAAAGGGCCATCACCAAACGTTTCCCACAAAGTTGGGAGCATGAAATTGTCCAAACTGTCTTGGTATGCTGACACCTTAAGAATTCCCTTCACTGGAACTAAGGGGCCAAGCCCAACCTCTGAAAAACAACCCCATACCATAATTCTCCCAACACCAGACTTTACACTTGGCACAATGAAGTCAGGCAAGTACCGTTCTCCTGGCAACCGCCAAACCCTGACACATCCATCAGATTGCCAGACAGAGAAGTGTGATTCGTCACTCAAGAACATGTCTCCACTGCTCTAGAGTCCAGTGGCGGCGTGCTTTACACCACTGTATCTAACGCTTTGCATTGCACTTGGCGATGTAAGGCTTGAATGCAGCTGCTTGGCCATGGAAACCCATTCCATAAAGCTCTCTATGCACTGTAGTTGTGCTAATCGGAAGGCCAAGTGAAGTGTTGAGGTCTTTAGCTATTGACTCTGCAGACAGTTGGCAACTTCTGCGCAATGTGCTCTTCAGCATGCGCTGAACCCGCTCTTTCATTTTTCGTGGCTGAGTTGCTGTTGTTCCCAGTTGCTTCCACTTTGTAATAATATCACTAACAGTTGGCCATGGAATATTTAGTAGCAAGGAAATATCATGGATGAACTTATAGCATAGGTGGCAACTTATCACGGTACCACGCTTGAATTCACTGAGCTCTTGAGAGTGGCCAATTCTTTCACAAATGTTTGTAGAAGCAGTTTGCATGCTTAGGTGCTTGATTTTATACACCTGTGGCCATAGAGGTGATTGGAACACCTGAATCTAATGATTTGAAGGGGTGTCTCAATACCTTTGGCAATATAGTGTATATCTACAGTGCAAACTATGCAGAAATTTCTTATAAATACACTGTATAAAAGTGTATAGTTCATTCTGTCCCCTATTTCACTTGTGTAAAAAAATATTCAAATAATGTCCAGACTGATAACATACATCTATATAGTGTGATGAGTTTTTTTCTTCTGAAATGGGTTAGGGTCCAAACCTGGAAAGTCCTCTGTCATTCCTGAGCCAATCAGCTGCAGGCAGGGATTCCCTGCCCTGCAACTGACATACACAAAGAGGCAGGGATGCTCATGGCCATATTAGGTCAATTACATTCAGACCCGAGCCCAGTTTGGAACGAAACACACGCTCTGTTCAAGGAAGTTGAAAGTAGCAGTCTTACTGGCTGGATAAACAGCTGAAAATAAAGGCCTAAATAAGGTGAAAAAAGCCTATAAAACAAATGCGTTACCCATTTTGTTGGTAAAATATAAAGATGATGTTGCACCAAACATGTCAAGATTGAAAGTTTTGCACGATAATGCAGTGATGACAAACTACAGAGTACCTAAACAACTCCATAAGCAACGCTTCAAAAGCCTTTAAAGATTACCAGTTTAGAATTAAACATGAGCTCTGGTGCTAGCATTATTGCTTTCACTCTGACCATGGCTATACCTCACATTCATGGTGCAATTACTGCACAGTGAAACGAGGGTGCTTTAAAAAGATTTTATTTATTTTATTTCCTTTTTTTACACTTTAGTTTTTTTTATTCAACTTTATTGACATCACAAGGGATGAACACCACCCCTTAGTGTCAGGTACTCTTTATTAAAAGATCAGTGATCGATAAGTTCCCTGATCCCTCCTCTGCTCTTTAAGGTAGCCAATTAAACATAGATTGGTTTGATAGCTTGACTCCCTGGCTGGTTCCAACCAGATAAACAAAGAACTGAAACCTGAATTGACAAAATCCTCATCGCTGCCGGCTTCATTTGTCACAGAGGAGAGGAAGGAATGGATGTTCCTCCTTCCCATAACAAGACTGCTTACAGTGATGCCATGCCCCTAGTGGGATGGAAGAGCTCAGGAACAGCAGTGGATGACGGCTGGAGGATGGGTGGCCCTATTCTCAGCACTGTAAAAGTGATTGAGCGGCTGTATAGCCACTTTGATTTTACACCTGAAAGGCACAGACCTACTGAGCAATTTGATGCCAGATCATGGATCCAGCTGCAGCTATGATCCTGGGACAACCACTCGATATTGAGGATATATATATATATATATATATATATATATATATATATATGGCCCAGGGATAGCAAAAGGTTCATTTTCATTACAGAACATAATGTAAAATACCCAATGCTGTCAAGCTTGATATTATAGACGTTCCATACCTGAGGTCTGGTAATAAAAATAAATAAATCACAACTTCCTATTGTACAGGGTTTATGGGACATGCCATACCTCCTGCTCCACCGGTCAACCACTCATGCAGGACTAATTGAATTCACATCAGCCACCTTGATCTAGAACACATAAGCAATGTGTGTCAACCAAAGATAATCAAGTTTTAACAAAAGTTAGCCCTTTTTCTTGCAAACATCAGTTCTTTGTTTTTCTAGATAATTAGTGGTCAGAATGCTGCATCATAAATACAGCTGGTAAAACATATTCTTGTTAGTGCTGAACAAGGAAATTGTATTTTTGACTTTTCAATTTAAAATTACATAATTTCCCCTTATATGCCTGATTTCGTAAACATGCAGGTAATGTGTTACAGCAGAATTCCAAGTTCAACCAATAGGTGCACAGGGGGAAGTGGGAGCTTTTGTGTAGAATACTTCCATGCAAGAGTTCCAGCAAAAATGTTCTTCTGAAGGTCCTGTCATGAGTACTTCCTCTTACAAGTCTTGCAAGGACAACAGGTCAAAAGATTGTCAGAATTCTATAGAAGTAGCTCTTTGATAGCCAAGAACAGGAAGTGTTTCACTTGGGACCTTGAAGTGATTTTAGCCGTATTAGTGCACTTGTGAAAGAAACAATTGAGCACTGTCCGCGATACTTTTTTTTATTTGCACTAACATACAATTTTTCAGGACAAGCTTTTGGGGTGTACCCCCTTCTTCAAGGTCCAAGCAGTACTTGGGACCTTAATAGGAACTGATCCCTGGACCAGAGTCATGGAGGCATGTGTCACCTGAATGGCAAACCTTGTTCCATACAATTTCTGTTAGCCTTCATAATAGAATATAGAGCATACATGTACAGTAAATTACCACACTCAAACTTTGGGTGAAGAAGTAATCAGTTTGCTTTGAACCTATTATTGTTTTCTCTATACTCATGAGATGCAGAATGTTAGCTAACTTTGTAAGCCTCGAGCTGAAAAACTCTCATTGCAAAATTATTTTAAAAAACATGTCTCTCATAATGAGGAAATAATAGAGAAATGTAAAAGTGAGTGCTATCCAATCAGCAGCTGAACACTCAAGGTGACCAAAAAAAACCTTATCATAAACATCAAAATAGGGAAGTGCAGCGCTAAGATAATCATAAATAGTATGATCAATATCCCACATAAAAATGATAAGATCAATAAATAATGATAATAATAATTGTATAGAAGTTCAGTATAAGTGATGGTATCCGCCTCTGAAGAAGTGCGTGCGCACGAAACGTGTTATGAGGAGCCAGGACATCGTGACATCATGCTGCCGGCGCCACGTGGTGGCCTTCCGGCCATCTTAGTTTCTGGAGGGTTAGTTCATCTATTCAAATCTGACACTGTTACACTATTATTTGATCGTTTTAATGTTTGCAAACACCCGCTTTTAACAATTAATAAATTATTTTGAATACTACACTATGGGCACCCTTCCTGGTCTCCCATGAGGAGCATTTTATTTACAGAGCCCGTTTGAGATCCAGTCATCCATCCATCCTTTGTATCCAGAGAAGGGAGTTCCCTGTAAGAAGGCATCCTTACCCACTCATCCCTTAAAGGGACCTCTGGCTACCTGGATCCACTTACTCTTTGCTGGGCTCACAACCAGGGGTGGACTGACAACTCATGGGGCCTCCGGGCAATAGGGGATCATGGGGCCCCTGTGTCCTTGCCCAAACTCAAAAAAGCCTATGAAGAAGGTACCAGGGGCATCTCATGGGGCCCCCTACTGACCCCGGGCCCTCGGGCAGTGCCCGAGTTTCCAAATGGTCAGTCTGCCCCTGCTCATAACACCATTACTCTGAGTGAGGATTATCTGTGCCCCTGACCAGACCTTTATCTGATAAGGAGACCCTTGATGTGACATTCAATGCGTACTCAAATTACGCATCTGGTGAGTGCGTAATTCTACCGCACCTTTTGGAGCACCACCACTGGATTTTAGTATCTATTTTGCACCTTATATCCATATAAACTGTCACTTATACTGAACTTTTATACAATTATTATTATCATTATTATTATTTATTGATCTTATGGTTTTTTTTATGTAGGACATTTATCATACTATTTATTGATTATCTTAGCGCTGCACTTCCCTATTTTGATGTTCATAATGAGGACTATTTGCTCAAACCTAAGTGACAGCTTAGGCCAGGGTTTCTCAACTAGGGTTCCTCCAGAGGGTGCTAGGGTTCTTTGAGCAATGAGAACTTTCTGCCTCTCAGATAAGTTCCCATTGACACTACTGATCTTTTTAGCTATCTATAAGTGAGAAATTCTTCCCAATGACCACAAGTGTAAGGAACATTCTTCCCACTGACCATCAGACTAATCTATCATGAGTTGTAGGTATAGTAATTTTTAGTGGGGTTCCATGAGACTGAAAATGATTATATCAAGTGTTCCTCTGTTTTGAAAAGGTTGAAAAAGAATGGCTTAGGCTGGCCTTATGGTCCTTTAATCAAAGATGTTCAGAGTGTGAAAAATAGTTCCTGAAAATAGTGATAGGTTTAATAAAAGAATAGTAAGGATTGGCATGAAGGCTTCAAAGCGGGCCGCATGGGTGCTAACTAGAAATATCAAGGCTATAAAACTATGTCCTCAGTTAACAAAAACAGAACTGACAATTCTGAACCTACGAAAGAAGCTGAAGATGAGAAAAGTAGGAAAACATTGACTCATTATGATATTGATACATCCTTTCTTATGGAAAAAATATATGCCATATCCAAAACACTACTGATAATATTATGATTTTAACCTAAACAAAAAGATAAAAAGATACCATTTTCTTTTACATTTTTATACACTATGCTTTCTCCAAGCTGAGCTACAAACTGTTATATCTGCTTAGGATGGGATACATTTATTTGTGAGACAAAGAATCATAGTTATTCATAGGCCTTTATCATAAGATAATGTAACCCAGCACAGCATGTCAAAACTAAATGGCATCTTCTGATAATGATCCTTTCTTCATTAGTACCATAAAAGCACACTTTATTACTTGCTCTTTGCCAGTGTGGCAGATGTGTGCCAAGTTGTGCAACATGAACTCATTGTAATAAAACTCTTCGGACAGCACTCTAAAGTTCAGTTTTTAATGTATGATGTGAAACTATGTATATAACATTTTCATATTATTACCATTATGGCTATGATTATTCTTAAGGATCATTATGAATTCCTAATATAAAAAAAAACAAAATTCTATTCCCCTTTTAGCCCATTACTACTCTGCTGCTCGGTATGATTTTGTTAAAATGTTATTATCACTAATAGAATTTGTAGCATACTGCAGTGTATAGATATACTGCATTATGGGTGTCTAGCAGTGGCTGCTATCAGATAATCCTGACTCTGTAATTTGTGAGCAATCAGTGCAGTCTATTAGATCAAAACCACCATCTCAGCAAAATACTAAATATCGAACCTAATGAATGAAATGCGATTACCTACCTTGACACAGGCACTGTGGTTATTGAGAATATGGATTTAAAATTGAAGTTAGTCCTGGGAAGGTGCTCCACATATTAACCGTCTGCCGCAGAACAGAGAGAGAAAGAGATTTCACAATGTGATCCCAGCAAGCAAAGTCATGTAGAGAACATCCTGTGTTCTATCATCCATAAACTGCATGTTAATCAGCACTGAACCAGTCTGTGAGCATTGTAGCACTGCCATCAAATCAGGCATTTTTAGCTGTAAGCTCCAGGTTTATCTGCTTGAGCCTTTCAGCCAGCACCATAACCTGTATATGTGGAACTATGAAGCATTTCACTGCAGTGAGCGTATGCAGAAAATTCTCCCAGTCACTGCAGCCACCCCTTTCAGTCCTCCCGGAGACAGTGAAATGAGAGCAGCATACATAATTCAATGCACTAAAATCTTCCTGCACTTCCTGTAGCCATCATTGCAGCCAGTAATGGGATATTGATTGGTAGCTTAAAAAAAAAAAAGTTTAAAAACCTGCATCATCTCTGCAAACAAAACATGCTTTTCAGTGATATTCAATGTTCTGCAAACATAAATTACAGTAAAATGCATATTAGTCTACCATGCCACCTACTTTTTGCTCTTTAAATTGCTGCCTATTTTCCCTATCAATGCAATCCAAGCCTACTTTGATAAGGTTTTTTTTTATAATACAGTTTTGTTCTATTTTAATTTGACTAAAATAAGCTCCCTATTATTTACCCTGAGTTCATCACAAAGGACAAGGGGGCACTCTTTACATCTGGAGGAAAAGAAATGTAATCTCCAAACACAGAAAGGTTTCTTCACAGTAAGAGCTGTGAGAATGTGGAATAGACTCCCTCAAGAGTTGGCTCTGGCCAGCTTAGTGAATTGCTTTAAAAAAAGGCCTGGATTCTTTCTTAGATACACAGAATATAACTGGATACTAACATTCATAGGTAAAGTTGATCCAGGGAATATCCAATTGCCTCTCGGGTAAGGAAGGAATTTTTTTCCATGCAGGAGCAAATTGGATCATGCTTTGCTGGGTTTTTTTTTGCCTTCCTCTGGATCAACTGTGGGTATAGGATTATAACTTTTTTATTTTTAATAGTTGGATGGATTTTGTCTTTTTTTTCAGCCAGACTAACTATGTAACTATATACAGTGACGGAAAGAAGTATTTGATCCCCTGCTGATTTTGAATGTTTGTCCACCCACAAAGAAATGATCAGTCTAAAAATCGAAATGGTAGTTGTATTGTAACACTGAGAGACAGAATAGCAACAAAAAACTCAAATGAAATGCATGTCTAACAAATGATTCACTGATTTGCATGTTCATGAGGGAAATAAGTATTTGATCCCCTTCACAAAACATGACTTAGTACTTGGTGGCAAATCCCTTGTTGCCAACCACAGAGGTCAGACGTTTCCTGTAGTTGGCCACCAGGTTTGCACACATCTCAGGAGGGATTTTGGCCCACTCCTCTTGGCAGATCCTCTCCAAGTCATTAAAGTTTGGTGGCTGACGTTTGGCAACTCGAACTTTCAGCTCCCTTAACAGATTTTCAATCGTATTAAGGTCTGGAGACTGGCTAGGCTGCTCCAGGACCTTAATGTGCTTCTTCTTGAGCCACTCCTTTGTTGCCTTGGCCGTGTGTTTTGGGTCATTGTCATGCTGGAACACCCATCCATGACCCATTTTCAATGCCCTGGCTAAAGGAAGAAGGTTCTCACTCACCCAAGATTTGATGGCACATTGCTCCGTCCATCGTCCCTTAACCTCCCTGGCGGTATGATTATTTCAGATTTTTGGTGCTGAAAGCGGTACCATTTTTTTGCATGGAAATATGTATTTTTTTTATTGTAGGCTGTAATTTTTAGGAAAAACTCACTGAAATCTGTCCGAACAAGAGTCTAGTAAACATCCCGGGTATGATAAAATTTGAAACACAAAATCATAAATTATAATTTAATAAATAATCATAAAAATAATATAAAAATAATAAAAAATTTAATTCAATAATATAATCAAACCAAAAACACTGAAATGTGAAATAGAGCGCCAAGTTCGCACATTGCTGAGCTCAGTCGCAAAATCGTTTTCAGTTTCTAATGACGAATTTCCCCCACGAATCATTATCACTCAATTCTGTAAGTGGTTCTGATTTACTATCGCTGTTCTCTAGCTGATCTAAACCGCTTTTGACCTAAAGGGACAATTTTTGGACGCCATGGACATTTCTCAGTTTCCAGGCAGAAAGAACAGACAAAATGCAGGCAGGGCACAGGACAAAGCACTAGGGACAATATGTATGTGAAATAGGTTGAAACAGCAATGTTTTACTGTGTAAAATGAAAAAAAAAAAAAAAAAAAATTACATTTTTTAAAATTTTTAAATTTCTTGCCGGCGGCGGCGGCGCCCGTACGTCCCGACGTCACAGGGACAGGACACAGAAGCCGGATGCCGGCATCGGCCGGAGGAGATGGCCGGGGACGCTGCAGGGGACACATCGTGGGAGCGCAGGGTAAGGTAAGTGAAGAACACATGCCGGAGCAGCGCCGCATGGTATTCCCGAGTGTAGCTCGGGGTTACCGCTTTTGGTACTGAAATGTTACCCCGAGCTACACTCGGGAATACCGCCAGGGAGGTTAAGCAACTGCTTCTCATCTCAGCTTGTTACCTGTATGAAAGACACCTGGTAACCAGAAATCCTGCTGAATGATAGGGCATGATATATTTATCTCATGAACATGCAAATCAATGCATCATTTGTTAGACACGCATTTATTTTGAATTTTTGTTGCTATTCTGTCTCTGTGTTACAATACACCAACCATTCAATTTTTAGACTGATCATTTCTTTGTGAGTGGGCAAACATTCAAAATCAGCAGGGGATCAAATACTTATTTCCTTCACTGTATGCTAAAAATGCTTACATGTTCCAAATACAAGTATGATGTTTTATGTTTAAAAACAACATCCTTATGTCCAGGATTTTACAGGACAGACATGGCAAATTTTTGAAAATTTGGAAACCCTGGAGGTCGTATGCCCTCCCTATGCTACATCCGACAATCTTGGGCACCAATAATGGTTGAAATTCTTACCCTAGCCTGCAGGACTTACCCCTTTCTACCCCTCCCCTGATGTTTTCCCCTCTTCTCCATCAGTCTACTTCTTTTTTTCCCCTCTTTTTCTAGGACAGCTTGCTGGTTCCCTTCTTCCTACCTTTTGTTTTAGTTATTTATATGGGGCATCCATCTGGGCCTAGGGGCCCAGAATATATATATAGGCCGACAGCTTCACCCATGCGGTCGTCCTTTGGTTTCTATCCTGTTA